TGGTTCAAATCCACCAGCAACTCCTCGGAAGGAAGATGGGGCAATCTACTTCCGTAGTGATACTGCCTCGGAAACCCAAGGAGGGGTCGCTATGAGTCGAGTCCGACTCGACGGCACATAACAACAACAACAATATATTTATATATATATGTTTAAATCTGAATAGACTAGGAAATATCAGAGTATTATATGGACTACTGAATTGTAAAACTTCTGAGTCAGTTATATATATTATATATATATATATATAGTATATGTATGCATGAAATGGGATGTAATGTAAAAATGATTTCTTACTCTGAGTGATGGATAACAATATTTAAAAGATACTTTCAAAGTAGGTCCCTCCAATTTCATAAAAAAAAAAAATGGTTGACGTCTAGTCAATTGTGACTCACGGTGGCCCATGTGTGTCCAAGTACAACTGTGCTCCACAGGGTTTTCAAGGCTGTGACCTTTCAGAAGCAGATTTTCAGTTTAGCTTCTTGTTATTTATTTTTTATTTACTTACTTCCCAAGACCCTGGTTTTCTTAATATTACAAGGAGTTAGTTTCATTGAAAGGAGCCCTGGTGGCACAGTGTTTAAAGTGCTTGACTGCTACCTAAAACAGCATTCGAACCCACTAGATGCTCCACGGGGAGAAAAATGTGTCGGTCTGCTTCTGATCAATAGGCTTGGAAAAGCTACAGGGCAGTTCTACTCTGTCTTATAGGTTCACTAGGAGTCAGAGTGGACTCAATGGAAGTGGGTTTGTTTGTTTGTTTGTTTTGGAGTTCCATTGATGGGCAGCAATCTTTTGGAGCAGGGACACAGGAGAAGACTGGTGAAATTAGGCAACAGATCTAACTTGTCTGGGTCCCCACGGGGCAGTAAAGTGCAGAAGCTGATAAGAATTTCTGTTACATTAAGGACCATATTGCCTCAAACCACTTACTGGGGTTGTTGCTTCCCCACAGATTCAAATGTAGGTGGTTTCCTACTCCTCATTGTCCTTCAGATGGACCACTTCACCATGACCCCAAACATTGCAGGCCCATTGGTGTGCACTTTCCTCCATCCCTGGGCCAGGCTTCCTTCCCATGACTTCTTTCTCCTTCTGAGAATTCTGCAGAGGCCAGGAGGGCTCATCACATTTGTTTCCAGGTAGGAATGGCTATTTGCTCAAAAACGGCTTCTTCCCAGATCCATTCTGAACCAACCTGAGTTTACTCCTGTCCTTTCTCACTTGGTGGGAGAAAAGTAGGGGAAGTATGAGGAGTAGGAGGTACAGTGAGTGTAACAGGCAGGGGTGAAACTCTCGCCAGATAAGCCCCAGTCACCCAGCCAGCATTTCTTTTCTTTTGACTTCTTTTCTTTTTGAAGCATTCTCTACAAAGTTTTCACAAACAAAGCACTGTATTTATAGATCTTCATTATCTGCAATTAACATTCCTATGTTGTTGTTTTTGTTGTCATATGCCATCAAGTGGACCAGACCCTCCTTGGGTTTCCGAGGCAGTATCACTACAGAAGTAGATTGCCCAACCTTCCTTCCGAGGAGTGGCTGGTGGGTTTGAACTGCCAGCTTCTGGTTAGCAGTTAAGTGCCTTAGGCACTACACTACCGAGCTCCTAACATTCCTATATTTAACTTCAGGTAGTGGCCTGGATAATACAGGTACACCTCATTGTATTGCTCTTCACTTTATTGAGCTTCACAGATACTGCAGATTTTAGGTTTGTGGCAACCATGCATCTAACAAGTCTATCAGCGCCATTTTTCTAACATGTGCTCATTTTGTGTGTCTGTGTCACATTTTGGTAATTCTCACAATATTTCAAACTTTTTTGTAATGTTATTGCACACTTAATAGATTACAGTAGAGTGTAAACATAACATTTATATGCACTGGGAAACCAAAAAATTAATGTGACTTGCTTTATTGTGATATTAACTTTATTGCAGTGGTCTGGAACTGAATTTACCATATCTCCAGATTATACCTGTATTAGCCTATAATTATCAAAGTTTGTTTTTTATTATTATGTAGAGTGTTTGAGTAATTACATTATCTATGATAATTAGGAGATTACATGGATAAAATATGGATTAAGATAAAGATATGTTGTTGTGTGCCGTCGAGTCGGCCCCGACTCATAGCGACCCCTCCTTGGGTTTCCGAGGCAGTATCACTACAGAAGTAGGATTGCCCAACCTTCCTTCTGAGGAGTGGCTGGTGGGTTTGAACCACCAGCCTTCTGGTTAGCAGTCAAGTGCTTTAGCCACTATGCTACCAGAGCTCCTAGATATATCAAACCAAAAAACCAAACCCACTGCTACAGAGTCCTATCCGACTCAACAACCCCTCCTTGGGTTGAGGCAGTATCACTACGGAAGTAGGTTGCCCAACCTTCCTTCCGAGGAGTGGCTGGTGGGTTTGAACTGCCAGTTTTCTGGTTAGCAGTCAAATGC